GTTACTAAGGGGAACTGGTCTGGATTTCAAATGGGAGGATCTCTTTCAAATGACACCATCATCGTTATCATTATCAGCATCATCATCACCATCACCACCATCATCTATATCATCATCATCGTCATCATCATCATCACCATCTTTATCATTATCCTCGACTTGTCTTCGTCGCCATCTTCATCATCATCACCATCATCATCATCATCGTCATCATCAACGTCATCATCATCACCATCATAATCATCATCGTCATTACCATCACCTTCATCACCAGCATCAACACCGTCATAATCATCTCTATCAGAATCATCACCAACGTCGTCAACAACATCATCAACATCGACATGATCATCATCATCATTATCATCTTTATAATCATCATCATCGTAGTCGTCGCCAACATCATCATCCTCGTCATCATAATCAACATGATCATCATCATCATTATCATCAACGTCATCATCATCACCATCATCATCACCATCAGGATCACGACCGCCATCATCATCATCATCATCATCGACATAATCATGATCCTCATCATCATCATCGTCGACACCATCAACTTCATCATCAGCATCATCACAATCATCATCATCTTTATCAGCATCATCATCATCGTTAATACCATCATCAGCGACATCAACATGATCATCAATATCATCATCATCGTCTACATCAACATCTTAATCACCAGCATCATCATAAACATCATCATCGTCGTCATCACCATCATCATCGTCGTCACCACCACCAGCATCATCATCATCATCGTTATCATCTTTATCATTATAATCATCATCAACATCACAATCATCATCATCATCATCCCCATCATTATGGTAATAATAATCATCGACGTCACCGTCATCATCACCATCACCAACATCATCGTCGATGAAGTCACCAACATTATCATCATCATCATCAATATCGTCATCTTCAAATTTATCATCTCCATCATCATACTCGTTGTAGTCGTCACCATCATCATCACCATCGTCATCATTTTTATCATAATCATGGTCTTTATCATAATCATCATCGTTGTCATCGACAACATCATCATCATCGTCATCGTCATCAACACCATCAATTTCATCATCGTCACTATCATTATCATCAACACCATCACCAGCACCATCGTCATCATCATCATCATTAGCATCATCATCACCACCATCATCATCGGCATTATCATCATCACCATCATCATCATCTTTATCATCATCATCATGATCATCATCATCATCATCATCGTCATCTTTATCATCATTATCGTCTTGTCGTCGTCACCAAATTCATCATCATCATCGTCATCTTCAACGTCATCATCATTACCGTCGTCATCATCATCATTATCACCAGCAGCATCGTAAACATCATCATCACCATCAGCGACACCATCATTATCATCATCATCATCATCGTTACCATCATCTTTATCACCAGCATCATGACCGTCATCATCATTTTTGTCAGAATCATCACCATCGTCGTCAACACCAACTGCATCAACATAAGCATGATCATCATCATTATCATCATCATCTTCGTCATCAGCGTCGTCGTCACCATCATCATCATAAAAATTATCATCATGTTTATAATCATCATCATCATCATCGTTATCATCTTTATCATTATCATCATCATAATCACCATCAGCATCATCAGCATCCCCATCATTATGGTCATCATCATCATCGTCGTCACAATCATCATCACCATCAGCATCACCGTCATCATCATCATTGTCGATGACGTCACCAACATCAACATGATCATCAACATCGTCACAGTCGGCGTCGTCAACATCATCCTCATCACCATCAGCATCATATTCATCACCATTATCATCATCAGCATCCCCATCCTTATGGTCATCATCATCATTCTCGTCACCATCATCATCACCATCACCATCACGATCATCATCATCATCGTTGACGACGTCATCATCATCACCATGATCATCATCATCCTCATCGTCGTATTCATCATCAGCACCATCATCCTCCTTGTCGTCGTAACCATCTTCATCAGCGTAATCATCATCATCATCATCAGCATCAGCATCATCATCATCATCATCAGCATCATCATCATCGTCATCGTAATGTTCGTCATCATCATCATTATCATCGTCATCATCGTATTCATCATCACCGTCATCATCCTCGTTGCCATCGTCACCGTCTTCATCATCGTAATCATCATCATCATCATCATCAT